TGGCTGGCCCAGCCTCGCTGAGCGCGTCCTTGGGGATGGAGCTCAGGACAGAATGTGTTTCATAGCCGTAAACAATGACCCCGAGTATTGTTTGGGATTACCGTATCTCGAGGCCACTAGGGCGGCCAGATGCCGCCAGCCGTCCCGGAAACACCAGCGCTTTATATAGAGCCTCGGGAAAGCTTCGAGTTTCCGTACTATTTTTCTTTCCTAGCAACACCCCCACTTTACAGATATGGAAACTGAGGACCGGATCTGTGCTGTGTTACAGTGCACAGTTGCTTCACAGTCCCAGTCCACTATGGACTCTCAAAACACATTCTCCCATTTGGTCTTCAGAAAAACCTTGTTGGGTACCAAATCAAACCCAATCCACTGCTGACGAGTCAATTCCGACTTGTAGTGACCCCCACTGGGGTTCCCAGGCGGCAAATCTTTACGGAAGTAGATTGCCCAGTCTTCCTTTCGCAAAGTGGATGGTGGGTTTGAACTACCAGCCTTCTGGTTAGCAGTCAGATGCCTTAGGCACTGTACTACAGGGGGCGCCACTTATACTGGGTATACTGAAGCTGAACAGAGCCTGAATCAGAATTCAAATTCCTTGACTCAGTACAACGAGGTACAGCGCTCTTCGGATGACACCACGGCATCTCTGCAAGGGGTTGACGCTCCCGAGCTGATAGGGGCCTTAGGAAGTCATCTGGTCCAACCTCCACACTTTATATGAAGAAACTGAGGTCCAGAGAGGTTAAGGGACTCGCCCAAGGTCTCACTGCTCGTAAATAGCACAGCTCCGCCTTCATACTCCAAAGCCTGTGCTCTTTACCCTGCACTGCGCCCCGCCTAGGGAGGCGGGAAGATCCCGGAGTCTGGACTACCCACGCCCTGAACTTCGCTCCAAACAGCTGAAGACAACGTTGGGACACACCCTTTCTCTGGTCGCCCTTCTGCACTCCCTCTCCCCCTTTTAAGTCACAAGTCTGTTTTTTGCGTATAATGCCGGATTACTCCTATCAGATACTTCCCAATTGCTCTGAAAGGAGGGCTGCCGGAATGTCTTGACTAGTCTTCAAGGCTACTCCTTACAAATCAATTGTAGGGCCTAAAGAAAAGAAAAAAAAAGAAAAGAAGAAAAGGAAGCAGTGGGTAGCCCGCCACAGAGAGAAAAATAGGCAGCCCGGCCTCGCCTGGTGGCGCCGCGCCTCGCCAAGGTCTGGCCGCAGGGCGGCGCGGGTGCCCTACGCGCTTAGGGCGCCTGCTGCACCGGGCGGCGCCGCGAAGGGCGCCGAACGACCGCTCGCGGCCGCGCCCTTCCTGCGAGTGGCTCTGCGTGCCCGGCTCCCGGCCTCGCGGTGGCGCCTCACAAACCGCCCGTCTACTTCTTCAGAACTGTGATTATTTTTTAAAACACTTAGCCGAGGCCTGCGCGGCCGCTCTCTGAACCCCCGCCCCACGCCCCGTCCTGGAGGGGGTGGGGGGAACGGGAGCAGCGCTCTCGGGAGCGGGCAAGGGAATTCCTCTCCCTCCACGTCACCCGAAAGCAAGGAAACCCGCACTCACGTCCTCTAACGCAAATGACCATCTTTGGCAACGTGCGCCAATGGGGCAGACCAAGGGCACTGGGCCTGGGGGGTGAGCAGGGAGTGAGAAAGGGACAGAGCCGCGTGGATTCCCCTGAATAGCGCCGCGGGCCCGCTCCCAACCAGTCGCTAGCCTTTCCTTCCTCACACCCGGGTGTGCAGTTGGCGTCAACGCAGCCTGGAGCCCGAACAGGGAGGGGAGCACTCTGCCCGTCTCCTCCAGCTTCTCTTCCTCCTCGCAGTCCTCCTCACCCCCGCCTCCCCTCACGCGCTCCTCCCTGCAAGGTGGAGTCTGGGGTTGACGTGAGTGAATCCACATGGTACAGGGGTGGATAATAAAGAGTGTGGAGTTGAACTCGTGCCATTGTAGTGACTCATCTCGGGCAGAGCTCAGGGGCTCCAAACGAGCGAGCGAGCGAGCGGCGCTCCGCGGGGAAAGAGAAAAAGAGGGGGAGAGGCGCAGACAGGCAGAGGCAAAGCCCGGGGCTGACGGGCGAGGCGCGGGCGAGGAGGCCCGTCTGGGAACGGGCACCGGGGAAGGAGTGCAGATCTCGGGCACCGGAGCTGCGGCGCGGGAAGCCGGGTCCGTGTCCCTCGCTCAGCGCGCACAGGCGGTTCAGTTCGAATTTCACGGGCCAGCTTTCCTGCTGGCGCGTCGGGGCCGCGGGACGGGTGCGGGCTGCTGTTCTTTTCCTACTCTGAGTAGCGTCGCAACTCGGGCGGCGAGTCAAGCCACAGGAAGTTTATTCTCGGGCTCTTCTAAAAGAAGGAAATAGCAGAACTTTCTCAAAGCGGACAGCCTCGCTTCTCTCTCTATTTTATTTCATTTTTCTTTCTCTGAAATCTGGGGGACCCAGACCTGGCCGACAGGGCTTCTTGGGCCCCTAATCTTTTTTAATTTTTAATTTTTGGTTTAGACTAAGGTGCCGGCAGGGCTCCGGTTGCGGGGCGGAGGCGGGAGGGAGCGCGCGGGGGAGGGACCGAGGGACGCACGGACTTTTTTAGAGGGAGGGATTGGGTGGACAGCTGGCCTCGCGGCACTTACAGAGCAGGGAAGAAGTTCAGCTAGAGGCGCTCGGGGGGCACTGTTGCCGCCGGCTGTCGTCGCTGACTCCCCTTCCGCGACCAGTGCTTAGGGGGAGAAGCACGAGCGTTGGAAGGCTAGAGGGAGCGCGCAACAGCCTGTGTGCGGCCGCGACGAGGGCGGGGGAAGAAAAACACCCTGTTTCCTCTCGGGCTCCCACCGCGGATCATGTACCAGGATTATCCCGGGAACTTTGACACCTCGTCCCGGGGCAGCAGCGGCTCTCCTGCGCACGCCGAGTCCTACTCCAGCGGCGGCGGCGGTCAGCAGGTAGGTGCCGGCCCCTGATGCACCTGGCTGCGCAGGCGGACCCTCGCCCTCCTCTCGCCGCCACTGCCTTTTTTTTTTTTTTTTTTTTTTTTTTGATTTTGCGAGAAAATACCTACAGTCTGTGGTTGTAAGTTCTGAATTTTCGTCCGCACCTCCCCGCCCCCCCCCCCCAAAAAAAAAGGTTGGCGCTGGGAGCAGGTTTGAAGAGCCAACAAATCCTTTCCTTTCCTCTACATCTTATCCAGCTCCTGTTCTGGAATTGCACTCCCTTCCCAGAAACCTGATACCTCTTTTCCCAGAAACCGTTTCCCCCAACTCCCTCCTTGCTTCCTTCCCGCTTGTTTGACTGACAAGAAAATCAGAAAATCTTTGCACCCACTGGCCCCTTCCAACACCCAGGAACCCTACTCGTGTGGTAAAACCTTCTCCCCTCCCTTCTCCCGTTCTCCACGTCTTAGTTCATTTCTGAAAGAGATTTGGGACTTGAAAACGCGACTGGGCTCATTCAGGAAACCCAAAGTGAGGGGGAGGGTTACCCCTCGGGAATCAGGTGCGAAGGTCAGGAAAGAGTAGGCAAGCCTTAATTGGCTGTGGTGGCCGCCTGTATGACCCGCACCCATCCTCTGTACTGGTCTGAGACGGAAGCACAGAGGAGTGTCTTGAGGGTCGGGCAAAGAGACTCAGCAGAAAGAACTGGGGGAAAGAGACATCACTTAGGCTCTGGGTGGTTCTGGAAGTGGAAAAACAACTTGTTTCTAAAGCAGCCGGACTGGTTTGCACTAGAGGGGTTGTGCATGCTCTCTGTGTGTCTATAAATACCAGAAAGGTGCTGCTAAGGTGGTGGTAGGGTGCCTTCCGGGTGGGGCTAGCTGCCTATCCTCTGCAGCAGATCCCTGATCCCAGGCTTGTGGGGGGCTGGGTTCAAACAGAAGACCCCCTATATTCTACAGCCCACCTTGGGCAGGATCTGTGGAGTCTCTAGCCAGCCAACTTGTGCAGCAAGAGTTGCCCTGGTAAGGTGGTAGCTTTGACCTCTAGAAGCCAGCCAGCTAGGAGGGGCTAGGGTGGGGTCCCAAGAGGGGTAGATTGAGTTGGGGAATAAAATGGAAACATGGCTCTGTTTTGGACCTGCAAAAGGATACCTTGTTGCAGAGTGATTCTTCTATCTGGTGAGTTCCCAAAATAGCTTTTCTGTGCCTTCCCTTTACCATCCCTTCTTGTTGGGTACTAGAGTAGATTTTCAACTCATATTGACCCCAGGTGACAGAGTAGAACTGGCCCATAGGGTTTTCAAGGTTGTAATCTTTATTTGAGCAGATGGCCAAGTCTTTCTTCCACAGAGCCAAGTCACTGGGTGGGTTCGAACCGCAAGTCTTTTGGTTGGCAGCCAAGTGTGCTTAATGGTTAGGCTATGAGGGCTCCTTTTACCTATCCTGTTGTCTCCCTAATCACCCATCGTGGAAAGCCAGATTGGGGTCTTTGCGTTGAGGGTGCAGTTACTGCACTCTTAATAAATGTGTACCAAGGTGATAAGTTTAAAATCTCACCCTAGAAATAGTTTGTTATGTTTGCTTTCCAGTCATGTTGATGGGTTTTATTGGATTCAGACATCATTAGGCAATGGGTTGGAGTCATTTATACGCATTCCCTCAATGTCCAATGCAACAAGCCCCCAGTGCCCCTCTTTTCCTCCTCATATCTGGAAGGGATCCTTTAATTTCTTCCATGTTTCTGTGGTGGCGAGCATTTAAATATTATGTACCTTTGCTGCCTGACTTCATTCAAACCCTGGGGGCCCATATGGGAAGTTAGACTGGACATCAGTGCCCCGACTGAATAATCTGTGTCACTAGGGCTTTGAGCCCAGGATGTGAGTGGAGGCAATTCCCTGTTTTGGAAGAAAATCAGACAGGAAACCAGTGCTAGGAAGAAGGAAGAGGATTGAGTCCAGCAGAGTGTAATGGGGACTCATTACCGAAGCAAAAAGCAGCTGTTGGCTAATTCCTAGCATGCTGTAACACATGAAGATTTTGCAATTAGTATTAACCAGTGCTCAAGGTTCTTGCATATAAGGCTGCCTCTTCGGCACAGCAGTGGGAGTGAGGCTTCTTTCAAATCAGAGGGGTTGGCAGGGTAATGCCACTTTAGACAGGTTTCACAGCCGGCCCACTCCTTGGGAGCAGGGGAGGGTTTTTCCACTTTCTATCCAACTTTGAGCCAAGCTGTTCTATGGTCACAGGATCTCAGAGGCTTTTTTTGTTCCTTCCCAAGTCTGTGCTATGACTCTGCCCAATTTGGGGCTCAAGCTAACTTTATTTCGTATCAGGCAGAATCTGTAACCACTTTATTTCCCTCAGTTTCCTTTACTAGGAGTCTTTCATGGCAGTTAAGTGGATGGGCCTTCCTCTTTTATGGCGTCTCAATGGATCAATCAATGTAAGATGGTCCCCAGTTTTCCCTTGTGGAATTGACTGTTCTTTTTGCCCTGATCTCTTTCTTCATAGGATCTAATATTCCTGAGAAGATTGTTTACCCACCTCAGAGCTTTCCGCTCCTCTCTAGCTTCTTAAAGTTTGATCTTAACACATGGCCATGAGTTCGAGTGACTTTGGGGAGGTGCAGATAACTTTTTTTAAAAAAAGCTTCTGTTCTTGAATGTGACTGGAACTTGAAGCATGAAAAATATTTCCTGTACCACTTGTAGTTTTAATCTCAAAAGTCGGTCATTGGTGATTTTGTTTTGTCAGTAATCGTTGTGGTATCATGTGCCTTCCCCTTCTGGATTTTTTGTTTTTGTTTTTGTTGTTGTTTTCTCTCTCCTAACTTTCCTGGGAAAACACCTCCCAGATACATACCCTGTCTGGCTGCTTGACTATTACGGTTTCAAGGCCTGAGTATTACGTAATCCAGCCAGTTACACAAACATAGGTCATTTCATAACTTGTTTTCATCAGCTGGGCCCCCTTTTTATAAAAAAGCAAAACAAAAACAAGACCCAGAACTTTTCCAAGGCTGCTGTTTGTCTCTTTCTCAGATAACTTGTGAAAATAAATCAAAAGGCCTCTTTCCTTTCTGGAATCAAGGAATACCAGACTAGTTCTCTTCTTTTCTTCAGCAACCACCCGCTCCCAAGACACACACACATGCACACACCACACACACAAAATTCCCCAGAGTGAACTTTTGCCAACTGTACCAGGCTGGGACATTCCTCACATCAAAGAACTTTTACCAGAAATGACTGTGATTCCCAAGTCAGCGCCAATCCTACCTCTCTAGTGCCCCCTACAGGACGTTAGTAGACGAACCATCTTGGGAATGTATTTTTCCAGTCCCGGAGTGTTAACTAGGTTAGTTTTTGTAATTCTTTGTTTTTCTTTTCCCTTTTAATTAGGAACCAATGCATACCATATATTTACAGTAATTAACTAGGAATTGCTGTAACTTCAAAATGAAGTTTCTTCTTTTTTAAAAAAATTTCTATTTTGTTAAGTTCTCAAAGTCTGGTTGAAAAAGGAATGCTTTTCGCTGTCCCTGTTTTGATCCCTCTGTTCGTTAAGCAGTTAGTACAGTGCCTTCAAATTCCCAAGGCTTACTCTCTTTTTTTTTTTTCTGAAAAAAATGCATTTAACCAAATTTGCCATTTTAACCATTTTGAAGTATATGCTTCAGTGACATTAATTACATCCACCATGTCATGCTATCATCACCACTATCCATTTCCAAACTTTTTCATCACCCAAACAGAAAATCAGTGCCCCTTAAGGAACAACTCCCCATTCCTTCCTCCCTTCAGTTCCTGGTAACTACTTTGGTCTTCATGCCTTTGCCTGTCTTAGGTATCTCATGTAAGTGGAATCATATAATATTTGTCTTTTCATGTCTGATTTACTTCATTCAGCATATTGTTTTCTAGGTTCATCCACGTAGTGGATTTGTCAGAACTTCACTTCTCTTTGTAATGAATAACAAGGCTTGATTTCTTGATGTGTTTGTATTAGGACACTAGGATTTTTTTTGGGGGGGGGGTGGGAATTGGGGAGAAAAGGGTGAAAGGTTCAGAATTGGTGGGAAGCTGGGAGATGGATATTGTGGTGCACTTTTTTTTGGCCTTGATCTTACAGATGTTGTAGATTAGGATCAAACAAACTGTTATCCCAGGAATTTGTGTGTTCCTCTGATTCTTGATGGTGGAAGTCAGCGTCACTTTTTCATCAAAGCGAATGGGGTGAAATAGCAGTCATGTATTGTCCAAATGGCAGTTGCATTTTTCTATCTAAAACCCTGAATGCATTTCCATTTCTTTATTCTGGCCTGCTTTATAATTCAAGGAGGGAGCCTTCATGGTGCAGGGGTTAAAACACTCAGCTGCCAACTAAACAGTTGGCAATTTGAACCTACTAGCCTCTCTGTGGCAGAAAGATGTGGCAATCTGCTTCTCTTAAGATTACAGCTTTGGAAACTTTATAGGACAGACACATTCTGTCCTATAAAGTCACTACGAGTAGGAATTAAGTCAATGGATATGGATTAGTGGCAGCTATTCAAGGTGGGTGTATAGTTGGAGACTTGTTTTTAAATTTCCTTTCTTAATACAAACACAACCAGAGCCTCAGCATTCAAATTGCTTTTAACCCATTTGTAATTATTCCTAGAGGAGACAAAATGACCCGGGAAGGTTTTGTCATGCCTCTTTTTTGGAATTGCTCTTAGTAAATTATTTTGAAAATCTTCCCTGTCCTTTGAGGGACAAATTAATGAATTTTGGAAATTACCAAAAGATCTTTGGAACTAAGGCTACTGTGTGATCAGACTGGGTCCAAATCCCTGGGTCCCTCTGGTTTTAATCTCGGGAGTCTGACAAGGGGATAAGGGATGACAGTAAATTTGCCTTTTCCATGTCTTGGATTTTTACTTCTGTTAACCAGGAACAAAGACATTGTTTCCAAGACCTAAGTAAGCTAACTTTCTGGTCAATTTGTTGAAAGAAAGGGAGAAAAAAAAAATAGCTTAATTACTTTGTGGACATATCTGTGTGTGTGTGGTATCATCTGGTGGATACAACATTTCAAAATGATGGCATCTGCCCTCATTGAGGCAAAGGTATCTGTTATTGTTCCAACCCTACTGGGTAATTTCATCCTCTGTCAACTCACTAGGCCAAGAGGGAGTATAGGACTTCTCTTGGCCCACCACTGTCTCTCATTTCTATCACATGGCGCTAACCATGCTGTAGTTCTTAGGGAAGCCGAGATGACATGTCTTTCCCGTTGAGTGCATAGCTGCTTGAGGCCTGGTGGGGGTATAAGAGAGGTTCACAGAATGGAAGAGTGACTCTCCAGGGCTTGGGGGCATGGCTTCTGGCCAGAAGGGCCTTCTGCAGTTTCCTTCTGTTAGAGTCTCTGGGAGGAAGGAAACCAGTGACACTGGAGGATGACTCCATGTCAGCCACTTTTTTCTTTCTTCTTTCCTCTGGAAGTTAGGTGAAGGAAGATAGGGTGGTTCTTTCACCTTTCACTGGGAAAGAGAAGAGGCTGATGCAGGCAGGTCACCTGGGGCAGTGTTTGTATCCTGTAAACTTCAGGGAAATCATGAGTTATAACATCAGTTTTTATTGTGACATAATGGCATTTTCTCAGATTTTAAAAAAGTTGCATTGCGTGGACTCCGGCTCATGGCCACCCGGGTGTGTCAGGGTAGATAGAACTGTACTCCATGGGGATTTCAGTGGCTAATTTTTCAGAAGTAGATCATTAGTTCCGGTCTTTCTTCCAAGATGCCTATGGGTAGACTCAACCTCCAACCTTTCAGTTAGCAGCTGGCACTTAACTGTTTGTGAGGCCAAATGAAGGCCCAGAGTATAAGGGAAACTCTGTGATGTCCAATCAGAATCTGTGAAGTGTGATTGAATTCCATACAGAAGACTTTTGAGAACATCCCAAGTTCAGTAAAACTGTAGAGCAGCTGGGTGAAAATGGACCTCAACAAGAGTATTATGGGAAGTAAGAAGTAGCATATGCCCTTACTCTTTCCTCTCTGCATGGACCAGTGTCCTGGGATGTCAGAATTTGCCTTGCCTGTGTTTAGGAGTTCTGGTGGCATAGTGCCAAAGGCACTTGACTGTTAACCAGAAGGCTGGCAGTTCAAACTCACCAGCCACTCCTCAGAAGGAAGGCTGGGTAATGTACTTCCATAGTGGTACTGCCTTAGAAGCCCAAGGAGGGGTCTCTATGAGTCGGGTCTGACTCGATGGCACATAACAACAACAACAACAAGAAAAAAAACCTAGTTCCTTACCAGACACACACAATCACATTCTTGGTTATACAGGTCACAGAGCTGACAGGGGTCATAGCTTGAGTGTTTGGTGGCCTAGTCAAAAATCAGTTTCAGAATTGCCCAGCCAAGGGGACAGGCCAAGAACACCATCCCTGACTTTCATTTCTGCCCACCTCAGGAGTCTCTACCTCCTCTATACCTCTGGGAAATGGGTCCAGACTCTAGCAATAGGGCTTTTTTGATGAGAGGCATGGTTGTGACCCTCCTTTCTGAATCCAGGGCCCTTTGGTAGAGTCCAGAATGGTCATTTCCTTAAATCAACAATTGCTGAGCCTATGAGCTGATGAAGAGGCTCTGTTCTGAATAGTCTGTCTTTTAGGTAGTGGGAGAACCATGTACATTTTTACTGAGCAGCATCACGGCACCCTTAGATTCAGGGGCCCAAGGGTAAAGAACGTTCTGTTGCCCAAACACCAGCAGCACCCTAACCTTTGGCCTTGGGGTCTGGAGATTCAAGTTGATGAGTGTGAGCCTATCCTCTGGGCTTCTAGGTGAGAGAAATCTTTCAGTCTTGATTTTCTGCTTTTTTATTTCTTCTTTGTTCTTTTGCCTCCCACCTGAGCATACATTAGGAGAATGATCCTGTAGGACAGGGGTTGGGTAAACTCTGGCCTGAGTGTTTTGGTAAATAAAGTTTAATGGAACACAGCCACGCCTGGTTGTTTGCATATTGTCTATGGCTGCTTCCAGGAGACAATTACAGGGTTGAGTAGTTGGGACAGAGACAGTATGCCCCACAAAGCTTAAAATATTTACTATCTGGCCCTTTACAGCAAGAATTTGCTAAACTCTCTTAGGAAGTTGGTGGGGGCCACTTTGTCCTTTTATAGGCATTCTTGCCCACCCAGTGTCAGCAGGGTGATGCAAGGCAGTAGAGCATCTGGAGGCTTTGTCAGGATGGAATGTCACATGGATGCCTAGCGTCTTCATCCAGGCCCCCAGAGGAGGAGTTTCCAAAGGGGCTAAAAGGCCCCAGTGGAGCCAGTTAGATCCTGGGTAACCCTGTCCACCTGTTGTTGTTGTGTTGTTATGTGCTGTCGAGTTGGACCCAACTCATAATGACCCCTCTTTGGGTTGCCGAGGCACTATCACTATGGAAGTAGATTGCCCAACCTTCCTTCTGAGGAGTGGCTGGTGGGTTTGAACTGCCAGCCTTCTGGTTAGCAGTCAAGTGCCTTAGGCACTATGCTACCAGAGCTCCCAACCCTGTCCACCTACCTTCCCCTAATACATACCTGCTACTACAGCAGGAGGGATAAAACGGCCCTATTGTCCACAGCGGGAGCTCTGGTAGCATAGTGGCTAAGACACTTGCCTGCTAACCAGACGGCTGGCGGTTCAAACCCACCAACCAGTCCTCAGAAGAAGGTTGGGCAATCCTACTTCCATAGTGATACTGCCTCGGAAACCCAAGGAGGGGTCGCTATGAGTCGGGGCCGACTCGACGGCACATAACAACAACAACAACATTGTCCACAGCTGGGAAATGCTGCCTTAGTTTCAATTGAATATTAACTAATTTATAGAGACCTATGACTTGTCCCCAGCATGATATTTGCCTGATTTTGGGGTTCTGTTGGCATAGAAGAATGCCAGGCTAACTTCTGGGACCACAAGCTGTTAACCTCACTACTTCTCTTCTACCCTGGTGTCATTTTCTGAATAATACATTCAGAGCTCAGACCAGACACATCTGCCAGATCTAATTTAAACTTCTGTGTGTCTCCCAGAGATGCTCCTCTTGGAGACAAAAGCATTCTTTATTAGAGGCCCAGTTCCCTCTGGGGATGGGACATTGTTTTCCCAGCAGTTTAGAGCCAGTGTGTTATCCAGATGGCTTTACCTCCTGTCTGAAACAAGGTGTGCATGCATTTCAGAGGCAGTCATTACCTACTGCCTTGTTTTTATTGCTGTCTTGTTTTGTCTAGACCAGGCCAATTGCTGCGAGGGATCTGGCTGACATGCGCAGGGGAACACATTCTGTAGACCCGCCATCCACAGAGCAAGTGGGCTGGAGAGGCCGAGGCCCATCCACTTAGTCCCTCGGGGATCTTAGTTTGCAAGCGTTGCTTCAGATTGTTTGCTGGCTTCCTCAAACTGGGAGCAGTTTTGTTTGCTGGAATGGAGAGTGAATTTCTTGGGTGCTTTCCTGAGAGGAAAGCTGACAATCCCCCACAGAGGTGGGGTCATATTAGACCATTGTACTGGGTGGTTTGGGTGCACATCAGCCCCAGGCCAGCCTGCTGAGATAGAACTTGACTTGGGAAGAGAAATGGAATAAAAATGTTGGGTGCTTCCCTGGAGTGGGGAGCTGGCAATCCTCCCAGGAGCCACCCCATGCAGAGCACAGAGACACAGTGATGATAAGATGAAGATGATGATGATAGCATCTTCTCTTTGTTGGAAGCCTGTTTCTCAAACCTGGTTGTACATTAGAATCTCCTTAGAAGCTTCCCCCCCCACACACACCAAATACCGTTATCAGTATTCCACTCCAGACTAATTATTTCAGAACTCTACGGGTGAGGCTTAGCCTTAGTGGTTTTTCTTGTTTTGTTTTGTTTTTTAAATCTCCTCAGAATATTCTAATATGCAGCCAAGGCTGAGAACCACTGTTGTAATGCTTTATACTCTGATTATCTCTTCTTGTAGCTACTTATTTAATCCTCATGACAGTGCAGTGGGTTTGGTGGTAGTCTTCCTCTTTATAGACAGGGAAACTGAGTCCTCCTCAGTGATTCGCCAAGGACAAAGCACTTAGTGGCTGAAGTAGGCCTCAAATCCAGGGCTCCTGTCAGCAAATTTAGTGCTGTGCTCCTCTCCCCACCCCTCCTGTTCAGCAGCCTAAGAGAAAAATAGCTTCTGGGACTTGGTGCTTCTGCACATACTTAGCCATGCCCACGTGTTCTCACGTACTCTGCCTCCTCACAGCCCAGCCCCTGTTGTCTCTTTTTTTTTCCCCTTGTCTTTGTAGACCATTTCCTGTTTGGATCCTTCCTTGTCTGCTACACCTTTCCCTTCTTTACACACACACACACACACACACACACACTTCCTTCTTTTCAATCAGCTCCTAATAAAGCCCAGTTGCCTTGCCTTCAGAGGTTCAAGGTTAGAATCCATTTCACTAGTTAGCATTCCTCACAGAATCCCAGAACCCCTTGTTCTGGGCAGCTTTCTTTGTGGAATCCCAGGATCCATTGTGCTGGATAGCTGTCCTCGCTGAATGCTATTGGCCTGGGACCCTGGACAGTCTGGGAGGTGAAGCAGCCGCATTGTACCATGCAGACTGAGGATGGGCAGGTGGCAGGGGAATGAGGGAGGGAGGGTCCCCAGCTCCCTCAATTAGAGTGAGGTACCCTAAGCTTTATTTTAGTTACACAGCAGGAACCCAGAGGGACAAAGACCTAGTTGGTCTGATAGAATGGGGTAAGAGAATGCTAGAATTGAGTTCCAGGGAGGTCAGTGATAATGATAATGGAATTTCACTTGGGGCCAAACAGACCTATGGGGCCTCCTTGGTGAGAGGGAAGGTCTTCAGGGACCCATGGCAGGTCTGACCAGATATACTTGGGTCTGAATTTCTGGGAAGAAGGAAGCAGTGCTAAAGAAGCTTTGTAGCCTTGTTTAAGAGCTTCAGCTTTATTGTCAGGCTGAACTTGGCTTGAATCCTGACCTACTGCTTGTTAGCAATGTGGCCTTGAATAAGTTATTTAATCTCTCTAAGCCTAAATTTCTGCCTCTAAAATGGAGATGATAGTTCCTACCTTATAGGGAGAATTAATGAGATAATGTGTGTAAAACACTATTATGGTGCCTACCATTGAGTCAATACTGACTCATGGGAACCCTATAAAACATAGTAGAACTGCCCCAAAAGGTTTCTAAAGCTGCAAATTTTTATGGAAGCAGTCTGCCATACCTTTCCCCTGTGGAGCAGCTGGTGGGTTCAAACTGCCAACCTTTGGTTAGCAGCCGAATGGTTTAACTACTGTGCCATCAGAGCTCCTTTTAAGTCACTAAGTGCTAGCTGTTACTGTTGTTGTCATTTAACCCACTAGGTAATGAAAGAAAGTGTTTAGAGAAACTTTGTGGAAATCGGAATTGTCTGAGGATAAGGGTTCACCTGGGTTCCATTAGAGTGGCCTTCTTCCGAAAAGCTGGAAGTGAGGGATCCTTTTCTTCTCCTTCCATCTATTTTTCAGTAGCTGCCCTGAAGAAAGGTTAAGCTCAACTATTAAGGAGCACAGCCCATTTTAGTTTTTGTACTCTGTCATCATCTTACATTTTAAATAGAATGCCTCCTGCAGTATATCGCAGGGAGTGCTGCAGTGTGGTCTGGACATACATTGAGACAAGGAGAAAGCTCTCAGCTAGCAACACCAGAGTCTTCACAGACATATCCGTGAACACAGGTAGATAAATAAAGAGATGGGTAGAGAGAGATGTAGTGTCTGTCCCAAGCAAGATGTGGGTAGGTGAAGAGGAGAAGGGATGAGGCTACAAGAAGAAGTCTGGCCTTAAGCACCCCTACTTTTCAGTCTCAAGGGTTGTAGGATACTTTTTCAGGGACCTGGTTCACCTTCATGAAGTCATTTGGAAATTGACACACGCAGGCACAAAAGCATCCTGGTGATCTCCGAGGCTTTAGGCGGTCGAGGTGGGAGGCCTACCTCCTGCACATATAGGCATAGCTAGCCTGGAGGGCTGCAGAGAGGGCTTGCTGAGTGCCGGCAACTGGGAGCTGCGTCTTTCTTGGAAGTTGCCTAGGATGTGACAGTATCTTCCTGAGTCCCCAGGACCTTAGTCAGGGAGCAGAGAGAATATGAGGCTCTAGGACCAAAGCTCACCTTGTGTCTTGGGTATGCAGGACTTGCCAGCACTTCTTCAGGAGGCACCCCTGGTGTCCTGACTTGCTCTTCAAGCACCGGTCTTGCTTTCTTTGATGGTTCTCACCTCTTGGATCTGTTTGTCCTGCTTCTGCTCAATATTTACCAGCTCCATCATATTTTTCTTATTTCAGAAATTCCGGGTAGATATGCCTGGTTCAGGCAGTGCCTTCATCCCTACCATCAACGCCATCACGACCAGCCAGGACCTGCAGTGGATGGTGCAGCCCACAGTGATCACCTCCATGTCCAACCCGTACTCCCGCTCACACCCCTACAGCCCCCTGCCAGGCCTGGCCTCTGTCCCTGGGCACATGGCCCTCCCGAGACCTGGTGTGATCAAGACCATTGGTACCACCGTGGGGCGCAGGAGGAGAGATGAGCAGGTACACCTCAGACCAGTTGAAATGGGCCACACTGGGGGGTTTTGGGGACTTCATACACATAGAGTGTTTTTCTGCAGACTGGCAGAAACAGGTTAATGTTCTGGGAGGACTGGGGAGAGGGCAGCCAGGGGATCAGGCACATCACCCTCATCACTGAAGGCAAAGCTGGAGACCTGAGAGTCAGGCCTGGCTCTGTCATGTCATCCATGTTTCTTGGACTTTCTGAGGCTCAGTTTCCTCCCTTGTAAAATGGCAATAAGTACCTGCCATACAAATGAGATCATGTGTGTGAAAGCATGTCTGAGTGGTCAGATGTCAACAGATGGGAAGGACTGTGATGACCTATCTGCAAAAGTGGCCTTTGAGACATGGGACAAGTAGCCACGGAGCCTTGGGTGTGGGCTCATTTGATTCACCCTTAGCTATCTCCCAGGATCTGGTGCAGGCAGACAACTAGCCGACCCAAAGGGTCAGACTCTAAGCTGGCACTGCTCAAATTACTTTCCATTCCTTCTCAGCGTCCCAGCCTCCAACTTGAAGCAGGAGCCTATTTTGGGTACTTAGAACGCATATTTCAGAAGTACACTGATTCTGGGGTCTTAGGAGTCTGTTCAGCTGACTTAGCTGATAGGGTGAGGGTGGGAGGTCAAACATCAGCCTTTCTTTTCCCCAAGGGGCTCAGCTTTGAGAGGGAATCAGCCTGGCTGGGAGAGAAGCCAAGAAGTGGGGGCAATGTTTTCCCAGCACTCAAAGGCCCATTGTCGATATCGACAGTGAGCCAGGGCAGCAGTGAGCCCCCAGTCCCAGAAAGAGAAATCATATCATGCATGATTTTAGTGAGAAGGGAATGTGGTTTTCAAAGAGTCCCATCTCCCTTCACAAATCGTATAGCTAAGGCCCAGAGACACTTGCCTGGGATCACTTAGCAAGTGAGTGGGAAAGTCTGGACTAGAGCCCAGCTCCCTGGACTCCCTGTGCAGTGCTCATCATACAACGCCATGCCACCTAGAACCCAGAGGGGAAATACTCTAGCAGTGGAATCCCTTTTTCAAATGAAACGTTAGCATTGCAAACTACTGCAGTTACAGCATTGGAATTCTTCCCCATTTCAACCACAGTCCACCTCCTCTCTAGGATCCTCAGGGTCTATCATTTTCTAATATATGATCATTTCCAATATATGATCAATATATGATCCTACCAGTGGGTAATCATGGCTCAGTGTATTAGTTTTCAGGATGCTTAGAATTACCTGGATCATCACTTCAAGGAATTGGACACTTTCTCAGAAACTGCTCGTCTGAGGACAAAGCTGGGCCTGTATATACCCCTTCTTGTTTTTTTCTGCTAATGCTAGGCCCATGGTACAGGGTAACAAGGGGAGGTATGTGTGACACATAGTATAGTAGCTATAGCCCACGGTCACATCTTGGGCTTCTGCTTCTGGGGCAAATGGCCAATGTGCCCCTCACTGTTACTTTCCATAATTGCAGTTATAAATAGTGCAGTAGTAGTGATCATAATGTCATTTACAAATATGCTTCCTCCAGGGAGTCCAAGGTACAAAGCTGAATAGCAACTTATGAGCTGGGTTCTGTCAGAATATAATGGCTTCTGAGTGACAGCCAGGTCTATAAGGGACTCTTTTTGGCTAGAGGACAATAAAGCAAGATGTGCTTAACACTTCACTATCTTCTGGGCCCAACTCACACCAACTTTAAAACTTTATATCTGGAAGTGACTTTGGAGACCATCTTTTCTAGTTTTCCCTATGTACCCATTTTGTAGATAAGGAGACTGAGGCCCAGAAAGGAGAAGAGCCTTGTCCAGGGTCACACAGTAAGTAGCAGAGCCAGGCCTGGAATCCACTCCCGTTGACCCTTAGCTCTGTGGTTTTCCCACCACCCCACCTAGGCGTGCCTTAAGACAATCTGTCTAGAGAATTTCCTTCCTTTTTTTTTTGAGAGGGAGGGAGAGAGCACAGAACATTTTATCTCACATCAGTTAGAAGTTCAGATCTGACAGCTTTGAGGAGTCTTGGCATAGCAGCCTAGAGCTTTGGCTAGTTGGGTTTCTAGCGTGAAGATCATTTCTCTGGAGCCTACTTCTGTCCCTTCCTGTGAGGGAGGAGCCTTTTACGGAGAGCCAGCCTGGTGCCTTAGCTGCCCTCCTGACCCTGCCCAAGAGGCTCCCTCTGAGGCCAGTGGCTATGACTGAGGAGGCGGGGTGGTGGTGGTAGAAGGGTGTGTGTAGCTTGTGGGTGTGTATTTGGCATGCTGACATACTCAAGCTATAGCCATGTTGATCTCACTGTTCTGAACACTTCCCATGTTGACAGCTCCACAGGTTGCTCCATACCTCACCAGATGGGTGTAGGGGGAGGAAAAAGTCTAGGCCAACTAAGACACCACAAGGTGTCCAGAAGCAGCTAAGGGGGAAGGGAGGCTGAAATAGACCAAGACTTGTTCTCCCTCTTTTCTGGCCCTCACCAGTGAGGGACCTGAGGGGTATGCTGGGCCTCAAGGGAGTCCTGGTGGCCCTTTCATGGGTGAACCTGAACCCAGGACTGCAGCAGGGGCATAAGGCTCTCTTGATAATTATATTGGGCACAGGTTCAGACAAGTTTAAGAGCAGCAAGTATTCAGGGCCTTTGCCAAGCAGCCTCATGACCTTGGCTGGGCAGCCCACCCCTGCACAGAGCACAGTACGTGAATCTGTAGACTGTGATCTCAAGTCTGTTTAGATACTTTCAGGACTCAGACCATCAGAGAAGAAATCTCTCCATCTTTCTAGCATTTTCTAGCATCTTCTGTCTTTTTAGCACTTTGTAGATTAGAAAAAGCTTCCACACTGTGTCTCATTTGAGCATAGCAAAAACTTTATGTGAAAGGTTGGGCAAGTATTATGAGGCTGGCACAGTTCCTGAGAATTAGGTACAGGGATTTTGGCATGCTGGGGTCATGGGGTCACTTCAGTATAAACAGGCCCAAGGCTCTCTGATGTGCCCTGCTTTGCTGTTCAGGACATCACAATGACAGACCTCTAGGGGTGCAGGGAGAGTCCTGGGAACTCTGACGTGGACAACAGGAGAGGGGCTCCCTCCCTCCTTGGGTGGCTGACAAGACGGCTTCCCCCTCAGAGTGGCTTCTCTTTTTTTCCTGTGTGTTTCTTGAGGGCAAGACTCAGGTCTTACTCTCCTTGATCCCTTCTAAGGCCCCAGTACTTCACTTGGCACATAGTAGGTGTGATAACTGGCACATAGTATGTCTGATAACTGAACGGGATGGTCTTTCCTTTTGATTTGCTTTCTGCTTTGGCCCACAGCCATCTTCTGGGGTTGTGGCTCTGGAAGGGCCATGCATAAACAGAGTGCCAGACCTTGCCCTGGTGGGTACCTAACCATCCTCATTGGAAAGAGCTAGGTTGTAAGCTCTTTGCAGGAGGGATATTTGTTTATTTGGTTCACAGATAAATCCCAAGCCTTTAAACTGCCTGGCACACAGGAGGCTCTGGTTTGTTGAATGTGTGAATGGGCATGGTGGGTAGTAGGTTTTAACGTGCCTAAGGGCTCCTCTCCCCTTTTGTACCTCTTGGCCAGCCTAGCGCTGTGCCAGGCATCTAAGGGAGTCCTCTGGGATGGACTGTGAGCAGCGGGCACTCCAGGGCTGGCAGAGGAAGTTGGGAGTGAAGTGATACCCTTTTCCCTCCCACTGGCAGTGGAACATTCCCCCCTGGCATTCTAGCATTTCTTAACCTGTGTGGGGTATCCAAGCCCAGCTACTTACCAAAATGGGGATAATGAGGCTTGCAGAGCAGGCACAGTGATGGGGAGGAGTAATTAGCCAGGGTTTGAAAGAAGCTGTTTATGTGGGTGGGGCCAGGCCCACTGGCGGGAGGGGGACTCTTAGGGATGCCCTTCCAGCTCAAGTTCTCTGGCCTTGGCGCTGAGTCAGGGCTGACATGACAAATGCTGCCATCATGCCTGGACCGGTGAGTCCCTGACCCACAGCTGCTCTGTTCTCCCTTAAAACAGGGCCATCACCCTCCAGGGTGGGTTCATGGGCTCACAGCCTCCTCCCAGGCAGCTAAATGGCAGTGAGCTGTAAGTATTCTGGGTCCCTGGACCCAGAAGACACTCCTCTTACCCTCTTACCTTCCCCTCCCCAGTTCCAGGAGAGCTTCCCACCCTATTTAAAAGACAGTTTTTGAGCAAATGCTTTGCCCCAACCTAATCATGCTTCTCAACCTTGATCTCTAGCTGTCTCCTGAGGAGGAGGAGAAGCGTCGAATCCGGAGGGAGAGGAACAAGTTGGCTGCGGCCAAGTGCCGGAACCGCCGCAGGGAGCTGACAGAGAAGCTGCAGGCGGTGAGGAGCTCTTGTGGGCTGGGGGCACTTCTGGGTAGGCCAGAGTGAGAGCCACAGGGCTTCTGGCCCTCCCACCCCTCCTTGCTCACTTGTACCCTGCAGATGAGACAGTGGAGACAGAAACATTCCTTCCTATGAGCACATGGCTTAGCATTATGCTGACTGAAAAGGGAGAAGGTGCTGGCCGATGGCACCAGCCTGGCCCAGACGGAGAAGAACTAGACAGCTTTCCTTTTTGTGCTCAATGTCTGAGCCTTCCCTGCTCTCAGATCTGCTGGGAATCTCAGGTGAGGGATGGCAGAAGGTGTTGGCCTTCTTGGTCCCAGGAAACCAGGGCAAGTCCAGACCTGTCCCCTCTAGGCTACTTCCAACGTTCCAGCTGCCCCCATTCTACCTCCAGCAGGAACCAACTCCAGCCTGGCTTAAGTGCTCTGGTTTGGGCAGGGAAGAGACCTGCCCTCTCCATTCCTTAATGTCTGCAGAAGTCTGGGTCCTGCCAGGGATGGACACATGCCAGTGAGGCTTGTTTTCTTGGGGTTTTCTCATATCCTAGATAGGCAGAAGGGTTCCCTCTCTCTGCTCTGAGCTTAGAGCTGTGACCTTGGTACCTCCATACTGCCCTTTGAGTCACACTCTCATGCTGCCTGATTGTCCCAGCTAGGGGCCCACGGCCCTGCCCTTCCCTCTCTAAAGCTGGACTTGACCAAAGGCATGTAACTCCTTTCAGAGTCTAGCCCTACAGGAAAGGCTGTGTGCCACGTGGGGGAAGCACAGAGCCAGGACTGACTCTCCTGAAAGGTTTTCAAAGTGGGGAGATGAAGGAGACTGTCAGTGGTCCTTAGGATGACCAGCCAGGACGAGACTTTGCATGTCACAAAGTGTCTTGCACCTCTTTTCATTTTATTTAATCATCGCAGGTACCGCACGTTCCTTAAGCTCCGCATTCTCCATCCTGGAACTCTTACTCTGGGTATTGAGTGAATGCTGTGTGGATTCTGTAATGTCTATAATGTTAGCAGGAAGGGTCCATTAGTGATTAGTGACCAGCATTCCACAGGGAGGTTATCTCAGGAGAACCATCCCCACTGTTAACTCTTCTCCAAGCTGGCACTTTCAAGACTGTGCCCTCAGTGTCTACTCTGGACGCTCCTTACCACCTGGTCCAGAATAGCCTCCAGCCTCCAAGGTTCCTGCTTTCCTCCCCTCCTCCCAGAAACCTCACACCCTACTCCCCTGCCTCCCCCACCCCCGTCCCAGCCGCCCAGGCCCCTGAGCCACATCCTCCACAGGAAACCTCTCATAAGCTTATGACGTTTGTCAGACCCTTGAGACAGATGGAAACTTTTTTTTATTTTTACTGAGAAATATGCTATACTTTGCTTAGTGAAGCTCTTGCCCTCTAGTTCCTCGTTCCTGAACGGGAATCCATCTTGGGGAAGAAGGGAGGAGGCTGGTGACGCACATCTTTCACTCTTTTCCCCGTTACTCCCTCCGTGTGCATGTGCGCACCTCTTTGGCTTTGTGTCAGAGAAGGGGGCTGTGGTTCTGGCTGTGGTCCTGGCATCCTCTCACGTCCTCACAAGCTCTCTGTTCCCTCATCTGTCAAGCAAGGGGCTGAACTGAATGTTCTCCAAGGGTCCTGTGAGTCCTGAAACACATTTTCCAGAAATTGGAGCCAAAAAGGGAAGAGAGGTGTGTGTGATGGTCAAACAATTATTGACCAAGCACTTACTCCATGATGGGTACTGTTCTACGCACTGGGGACATAGCAGTATGTATGACCAAGTGTTCACTCTCATGGCGCTTACAGTGTAGTGTGTGTGTCCACAGGGCTACCATGGGGTTGAGGAAGTAGGAGAGAGAGGGAGGAGTGGTCCCATATGCTGTGCTTCCATCTCCATTTGAATCTTCCTATTTCATCATGCCTTTGAGGGTATCCGGAGGGGGGGGGCAGTTCTGGGACTAAGACAGTAGAATGCAGCGGAGCATAGACTCTAGAATTAGATACTTTGGGGTTCAAATGTAGACTACCCTACTTGCTTGGTCTGTGATTTTGGGCAAATTACTAAATCTCTCTAAATCTCAAATTTCCTCATCTGCAAAATGGGGATTGAATGAGATAATGCCTGTGATATGTTTAACACAGTGCCTGGCACAGAGTAAGTGCTTAGTCATGACAGCTACAATTATTATCCACTCCTCATCTAAGCAGGCTTTCCTCCTTTCTCAGTCCTGAACTTTGAAAATACAAGGAGGCCAGCTATGTGAGCCAGCTGTTTCCGTGGCCCTCTGAAAACTTAGCTGACCTTCCCTTTTTCACCTAGCTTTGAGCCACCCCCCAGCAGGTCCCTGGCATGTTGCTCTCTCTCATGTTCTCTCTTTCCCCACAGGAGACAGAGGAGCTGGAGGAGGAGAAATCGGGCCTGCAGAAGGAGATTGCCGAGCTGCAAAAGGAGAAGGAGAAGCTAGAGTTCATGCTGGTGGCCCATGGGCCCGTGTGCAAGATTAGCCCCGAGGAGCGCCGTTCACCCCCGGCCCCTGGGCTGCAGCCCCTACGTGGTGGGGCTGGTGGAGTGGGCGCTGTGGTGGTAAAACAGGAGCCTATGGAAGAGGACAGCCCCTCGTCCTCATCAGTAGGGCTGGACAAGGCCCAGCGCTCCGTCATCAAGCCCATCAGCATCGCAGGGGGCTTCTACGGGGAGGAACCTCTCCACACTCCCATTGTGGTGACCTCCACACCTGCCATCACACCAGGCACCTCGAACCTCGTCTTCACCTACCCCAGTGTCCTGGAGCAGGAGTCGCCCGCATCACCCTCTGAGTCCTGCTCCAAAGCTCACCGCAGAAGCAGTAGCAGTGGGGACCAGTCGTCGGACTCCTTGAACTCCCCAACTCTGCTGGCTCTGTAACACAGTGGACTTCTTCCCAGCTCCGGAGGGGGCCCCATCACTGCCTCCTTCCCAGGGACCAGCACCTTTCAGCACTCCAGGGCCATGAGGGCAACAGGGGAAGCCTGCCAGAGAGCTTCCTGGCTCTGGGGAGACCCAAGTGGGATTTGGCGGTGAGGTGTTAGAGGACCTTGGGATGATCTCTTGGAAGTCATGGGACCTCCACCCTCATTCGTCTTACAAGCGAATCCTGTTTCTTGAAAAGCCTTGGAGAACTTGATTTGGTGGACTCATACATCTCTCTGGCTTCTGAAGAGCCTAAAGCTGGTCTGGACCATTCCTGTCCCTTTATTATAACATTGTCTCTGGAGTGATGGTGTCCTTCCCCACCCCCACCCAGCATGCTCAGTGCCTTTTGGTTTCACCTTCCTTCTATGGTCCCTTCCTTCTTCTAGTGTCAATTTCACTCCTTCTTGGTTTTTATCCAATTTGCCATGACATTTCATCTAGGTGGTCTGAATATTAAAGCTCTTCATTTCTGGAGATGAGGCAGCAGGTGACTCTTCTGCGGGGACTGACTGCTCCAGAGGGGACAGTCAATGTGCAATACAGAACCTTCCCTACCCTAACACTCCCCGGTCCACCACCATCTCCAGAACCACCAACAGGGCTCCCTGAGCTCACACAGAGATGCTGCCATCACATGGAGGCTTCGAGGACCCTTCCTTCCTGTCCTCAGAGACGGTTCTTCGCGGAGTGACTTGGCCAGAAGACAGGGTGTGAGTGAGTGAGACAGCCAGGGCACAGATTTGCCAAACGCCTAATTACCAGGCCAGGAGTAGTGCCAACAAAGCTACACGGTGTGCTAGCCAGCTTTCCTCCACTCCGTGTGTCTCGAGCTGAGCAGGGCGTCTCCTGTAATTACTGCCTGGCCATTCTGCCCCTGGACCCTTCCCTCCAGACCAGGCAGGCGCCCCTCCCTAGGAACCACACATCACTCCCAAGTCCTTGCCTTTCCCCTTCCCTGGCTTTCAGGGTGACGCCACCCACGGAGATTTAATGAGCGTGGGCCTAGACCCTCCTCAGATTGCTGCCAGGAGGCCCCTCCCCAAGCCTCAAAGAAGCATTTGGTGTGGATGGAAAAGCAGGGAGGGAAGAGAGAGGCAGGTGTCTGGATTGGTGTTTGCTGCAGCCTGCACCTGGCTTTCCCTGCCCTGGCTGTTCCCTGGTTTCTGTGAGGCACTGGGCCCTTTCTCCCTTCTCTGGTCATCTGATACCTGATGGATCCAGTGCTGTCTCTTTTTTGCTACCCCTTCTCTTCTGGTCTGGTCATAGCTGTTGCTATGGCTTTTGCCCCATTCCTGGTTGTCATTGTGGATCCTTTCCCGGCTGCTGAAATCTGAGATAAGATGTGTTGCTACCCACTACAGGGGTGCTGCCCCTTCAGAGCAGGGTCAGAGGGGAAGGGCTCCCGCTGGCCTTCAGCTCCAGCACAGCTTAGCATGGCCCTGCCTCCCCTCTCTGAGCCCTTTTCTCTGCAGGGCACAGCTCCTGCTGACCTTCCTGTCCACATTGTCCTGGGAAGCAGCTTCTGGTCAGAATTGGCCTCTGCTAGGCCAGTGCACTGAGGGAGACTGCTGTTGGTGATTCAGCTCTAGAGGTGATTATATGAGAATTTAAAACTATATGTATGTGTGTGTATGTGTGTGTGTGTGTGTGTGTGTATGTATATATATATATATATATATATAATTTAAATCAAGCCCAGTGAGGATTAAATTATAAAATTAGACTCTAGAGCAAGCAGTGAGGCCCTTGCTCAGCTGCTCTTGTTACACAGGAGCCTTGTGCATGCTCATAATTTAATGTGTTACCATGCACTGTGCACTAAACACAGGTGGGAGGGACATCCTGAGGACTAGAATACACGTCCCAAGACAACCAAGTGTGGCATTTGGCAGGATAGACCCTGCAGAGGGAGGAGATTTTTTTTAAAGAAAGGATTTTGTTCAAAAAATATAAAAAATGTATTTCCCACATTCCTTGGCTGTGGTGCTGCCCTCCTGGTACCCTAGAGGCTCTGGGTGGGATGCTTCTAATGAGGCTGGGCAATTGGGTGTCTGCCTTCCAATTAATGAAAGAAACAGGAGGCAGCCGGGAGTAGCAGGAGACAGAGAAAATTGGGGTGGCCTCAGCTCTGAAAGGCTTCATCATCTCAAGTAGTGTTTATAGCCAAGTGGGAACAATTTGTGTCTTTGTGCATACATAGATATATTTCTTAAATGAAGCTGCTTTCTGGTCTTATATTTCTAAAGGCCTCCTTACTCCCTGCTTTGCTCAACACTGATGCTAAAGTTGCTCATAGTGTGTGACTTGGGGCCAGGCTGGACTTTGCTGAATTTAGCTTCAGTTCAGGTCTCAAGCTGGGTTGGTTTTGGGACCAGCAGAAAGCAAAACCCAGCCAACCTCCAGGGCTGCCAGAGGTCTTTAAGCTGTGTTTCCATTCAGCACTCTCTTGCTTTGTTCTAGGAAGGATTTCTCAAAGTGAGAAGTTATTTGGGGAAGACTGAATTTGCACCTAAGTCATGAGCATATCCTCAGTTTACTTCCTTCTGGTGAGCTCTCCAAGTTCACATACACCCACACCCTTGCTCCAGAATCACCAGATGCCAGGCCTGCTGCTTCCTCCTTGGTGGCTCCATCTGAGGGAGCAGCTGGAGTGGGGATACAGTCAAGCTTGGGTTGAGACTGCTGTGCTTCCCCTGTGTCCCCAGCCATGAGGCAGCTGGTGTGAACTCCGGTTGGGCTGCAGGCAGCTCTGGGACGGCACAGGGCAGGAACTCCTTGATAGGTAGTGTGAAACATGCAGTCCTCTTGGCCACCTGGCTGGCCTCTCTGGGAACAGTTCACTCAGCTGGGGGGATGGGGAGAACTGGTGACACATGAAAGTAAGGAGCTCCCAGGTGAAGCTTTGAAATTACAGGAGTCAACCCCAAGCAGAGAATTCACTCGGAGAGGTTTTTAGAAAGAATCAAACGTTTTCCTGCCTGTGCAGAAGGCCAGGTGTATCCACTGCGCCCATCACATGAGCATCTTAAAGCCAAGAGCCATCAAGGCTGCTGCTTCTCTTACTCAGGCTTTAGGGAAACGAGTCTTGTCCCTGCTCTCACTTGGCTACAAGTGGAAGGTGGGTTGGACTCTTTGGAGCATTGGGGCCTTTCTCCCCTTTTCTTGATGGACCAACAGTGCTCTTGCAATTTCACCATTTACGTTTTAGGTTGATTCCTTCCCAGGTCAGGTATCTGCATTACCCTTTGAGGAAAGAAAAGAATAAGCATTTACTATGTGCCAGGCACTGTGTTAGGCACTTTTATATACTCTCCTTAGGAACAGACTAAGGGACGAGGGCACCCCCTTATGAAAGGTCCTCAGGTAATTGAGGGTCAATTACAAAAACAGTTGGAGGTGAGAAGGTCATGCTCAGTCTCTTCTCTGAGGCAAGATTGCCTTCAGTCTGAGGTTTGTTTTCAAAGATCCATCCCCTACAATATCCTCCCACCTCCAAACTTCTCCCTCTTGTTCCTCCAACCCTGTGGTGTGCTCCTTTGCACTCCACAGATGGTGGGAGGGGTAACGTGAGTCCTTATGGAATTCGTGGACCAATAAGATACATGGTGTGTAGAACTTTCTTTTCAAAACTGAAATAGAGGGGTCTTACTACTTTCTGCTTGTTAAGTCTTCTTGGCCTTCATCTTAAAAGCCAGCATCTCGCTATTTATTGACAGATTGGTGTGTGTGTGTGTGTGTGTGTGTGCATTTCCAGGCGTGGCCCTGTCCTCCTACAGCTTTTTAAAAGGAAACCCAGTCATCCCTTTACTAATTTGACATCTTCTTATGCTTCTAGTGTTTTGACCACACATCAACAAAGGGTTTTAACTTTTCCAGTGCTGACATGTTCAGGAGGGGATGGGTCAGATTTTGACAGGGGGACATGGGGAGGGTTGAGGGAGAAGAAATTGACATTTATTTTATTATTTATTTTAAATGTTTACATCTCCTTTGTGTTATATCAAGCCTGAATAGAAACAGACAGCATTAAAATACTAAGTTCCTCTCTCCCCTCTTCCTTCTTTATTTTTTAAAATTTCATCTATTGATGCTTTGTTTTTTGTTTCTAAAATGATTTGTGATTTGTGCTGTATAAACTGTATAAAAAGGTCCTTTTTTAAAAGATGGATTGTCATTCTTCTGGGGACAGTGGTTACCAAGAAGTCTGCATGGTGAGAGAACACAGTAAAAGATCCCCTGCCCTGTTCCTCCAAAAATTGTTTTCTCTGTATGATTAAAAGTTTATTCCATTTATTTTAGTTTGTGGTCACTTGATGCTGAAGAAGAAAATATTCGACATTGTATAGAGAATAGGTATCAGGGTGTTGTTTTCTGTGGTGGGAGATGTATATATAGTATTTTGGTATATAGTGGAAAATCATATGCCTTGTGTATCTGTATCAGAGGTATGTCAGTGATGTGGACTGAAGTCTGCTATGAGACCCCAGAGGCAAGCAAGTTGTACAAGATTCATTTAGCTCTGTGGGGGATTTAATTATCTTTCTGAGCACCACTTTTTAAAAAAAAAAAAATAATAATAATGAAACGATCCCAGGGGAGAGGCTCCTAAATCGGCTTCTCAAGGCAGGACCGTGAGCTCAAAAATCTGTGTATAGTATTGAAAATTGAGGAGTGTCTCTGCTCAGAAGCATCTCTGATGATATTTTGTTGTTGTTGTTGGTTTTGTTATTTTACTGTAATACAAGCCTACAGTATTTGCACTAAAGAAAGCTTGTTAGAAAAAGATTGCTGCTATGGAAGAAAGAATATATTAAAACTTTTTCTCGCCCCTGCATTTTTTTTCTTTTTCTTTTTTGATTAGCTTTACCACTTTGAATTGAGTAGCATTTTGTAGAATAAAATGGATTAAGATCGAAGAGCCTCTGATGGTTGGTTTGTTCCATCTTTTTTCCCCTCTCTCTCCTGTTATTTCTCTCCCCCCCCCCCCCATCTTTGGCTTTCATGACTAAAGTTGGTGTCTCTGGTATGGGAGGAGCTGAGAATGGCACTCCTGGAATCTCTTTCTGGAAAATTCTGAGGTGGACTGCTGGAAGGGCCATTAGAGCCTCTTCACTTTGCTTTGTCACCATCTTTCCCTCTCACCATTCTCCCAACTCCTCTCAATCTGTTTCCCACTTCTCAGGGCCAAATTCTCAGCCAGCTACCAACTACTGCCAAGATGTTAGCCAATAAAAGCTTAAGCTGTTGCCCCTTCCTGGGGGTGTTTTCTTTGAAAAGATTAACACTGGAGACCCAGAAATTTACAAACAAACAAAGAAACATGTATCACTAAAATTGTTGTAGGTCCCTGGGTGGCACAAACGGTTTGCACTTGACTAACTGTTGGTGGCTTGGACACACCCAGCATCACTGCTGAAGGAAGGCCCAGTGATCTGCTTCTGTAAAGATTACAGCCAAGAAGACCCTATAGAGCATTCTACTCTGTAACACATGGAGTTGCCATGAATTGGAATCAACTTGACAGCAATGTGGTTTTTCTTCGAAAGTTGTGGTGATGGTCAAAGGAGATAATGTTCAGGACAGGGCTCTGAGAATGTCTGAGACATGCAAATAAGTGGGATGATCACATCTCTAGGTTTCCTTTTTGAATAGACACAGATTATCAGGTTGGAACACTCCAAAGTGTTAGCCATGTAGTCCAGGAAGCCCTAGTGATTGGGAACATCTGTTCTGGCTGGCTATTTGCTTGCAAGGTAAATGGCAGGGTGGCAAACCTTTCATTGGTTACTGCCCATAGTCGTTGGAAGCTGGCTGAGAATTAGCCCCTAAGAAATTACACTACTTGCTCCAAACCAATAAGATCAGCATGCAGGCCTCATTCTCTGGAGGACCCAAGAGCATTGGACTAGAAGTCTGAGGAGCCCTGAATTTAGATCTGTCTCTACCACTTGTTGGCTGTCAAGGCTTTGAGGAAGCCATTTAACCTCACTGAGCCTTCCTTTCCTCATCTCTAAGACACAGAGTTGCCATCAAGCCAACTCTGACTCATGGTGCCCTTATGTACAACAGAACGAACATTGTTTGAGTCCATCATTGGTGGCTATTGTGCCATCTTTCTCACTGAGGGTCTCCCATGCCCTCCCTAGCCCTCTACTTCACCAAACATCATGTCCTTCTCCAGCAATTGATCCTCCTGATGATGTGCCCAAGCAAACAAGTTGGACTATGGTCTTTGGTGATCCATAAG